GGAAAAACCAAAGCCTTGCAACACAAAACCAGGTCCCCCTGTTTCCAGGGGTGAGCAAACCTTGTACCAGAAACCAGCATCTTTATCCTCTCTTTCCTGTAAACAAGTAAAAAAACAGCAAACTAATGGATTTGAATTTTTTAGGTTTAAACACTTGAAATAATTTGAGAATCTTTTAACCCTTTCTGGGCTTGCAGCATGCAGCTTTTTGCAGTTTAATATAAACTGGATCAGCTCACAGGAAAAACCACCCAAGATTGTCCCCTGATAAAATTCCGTCCTGAAATTTATGATTTCTGCCGCGTTTGTACAAATTTAAACTCTCAATGAAATAAAACTGAAATCCCTATCTTGCAAAAAAAATAAAAGTATTTTGGTTCTACATTGTCATCTATCATAAAACGTCTTGTGCAGCTGTCAAAATACAGCAGAATCTTTTTACAACAAAGCATCTGGGAGCTTTGAAAAGCTTTGCTATAAGCAAAAAATTGGTTAGAATGAAATTAAAATAAAATCAAGGCTATTGGACAGAGGGGCAACAAATTTGTTGCAAACATCAATTTGTATTAACGAAATTTGTTGCAACAAGGTTCTACTGTACATCAAATTTTTCTTCAGATGTGCATTGCTTTGAGCTTGAAAAATCTTTAAGGCAAGTATAGCTGTCTCAGAACTCCTGGCATCGACTTATGATGAATGCTCATCTGATTTTGATGCAAATGAACACAGGAATACACTTTGTTTCAAAATTTTAGGGATCTTTTCAAGGGCATTGCTCCCCTGGATCAAATGAACGCCCACTGGTGGAAGCTTAGAGAAGAAATTCAAGGCTTGAAAGCCCCAGTGACGAGGACGGAAGAGGATTTTGACCCAGGTGCAAAATACCACGTAGCTTCCGGGAGTCAGTATGTGAAGTAAGTTCAAGGAATTCGATGCGTATGCTGGTGAAGTACAATATTCAGAATGAATATTACCAGTGTCTCTTGAATTTCTTCGGGAAGGTATTTCGTTAGCACGATAATTCAGTTTCAATTCTACGAGGCTCTTTGCAAAGTTGCAAAAGAATACGAACCAAACAATCCGAAGAAGCCCCTGCATCGTTGCGATTTCTACCAGAACCTCGACGCCGGAGACGTTTTCAGGTCAGAGAGAATAACAGACAAAAAATTTCTTTTTGAAAGAACTCACTTCAAAAAGAATGTTCAGAACATATTTACTCAACTGCCATATGAGGCGTTGTATGTAATACTTGCACCCTGATTTTGGGCCAATTTCTTGAAAGAAAAACCCTGCGTAAGACGCGCAAACCAGTGACAAAAGCATACATCATTTTTTTTAATATTCCAAAAATAAAAAAGCGGAATGCAACTTGAAATCAATCACGCTTTATTGGGTTTTGCTTCGCATTTAATTTTGCAGCTAATTCCATATCCCAGTTTATTTCATTTTCCATCAGTTTGGTTTGAGTCTAAGGACAGGTCTCTCTCTACAACGAAATGTAAGTGACTCAAAAAAATTTGCTCTGAAGAGGATTTTGCTGTAGGGAACC